TGTGACACCCCTCCTTGGTGGGGGGGGGGGGGGGGTAAAAAACCCCCCAATCACTAATTTTGCTAACGAATAAAAGCGACTATTTTAGTACGAGTTACTCTCATTATTGGGGGGACCCCCCTGCCCCTCCCATTAGAGTAAATTGCCCCCCCTCCAGGGGTAAACTGCCCCCCAGGGGCTAAATTTCCCCCCCAAGAGGGTAAAATGCCCCTCCAAGGGGTAAAATGCCCCTCCAAGGGGTGAAATGCCCCCTGCAAGGTGTAAATTGCCCCCCCAAAGCACAAAGCACAGGGTGAGTCTCCACAGGCTTTATTCCAAAGCAGGAGGGGGGTGGTGGTCCCATGATGGGGGGGGGGCACAGAAAAAAGGGGGGGACAACACCCCCAAAGGAGTGACCCTGTGTCCCCCACCCACCCCCCAGCACCCCAGAAGGGGCCTGAGGGTCTGTGCCCAGTTTGGGAGGGGGGCATCTACTTGTGACCCCCCTCCTGCCCCAAAACAAAAGGTACAGAGGTGTCCCCAACTGTGATGGGAGGGGCACAGGGACCCAGCGGAGTTTCCCCCCCCCCAAAATAGGGGACCACCCCCCCTCAAGGCCCCCATATGTATATATATATTTACAGTTTGGGGGGCCATGTAGTGTGTGTCCCCCCTCCCCGTCGTCGTCTCCAGGGTGTGATTGGTCCCATGTGGCTGAGCCGCGGTTGGGGGGGGAAGCGACTCCCTCCTTAAGGTGGGGGTGCCCCCCCCCAAATATGGGGGGGGCTACGCCAGCCCCATCTCCTCCAGCACACTGCGGGGTGACTCGTCCTCCTATTGGGGGGGGGCAAAGATGGGTCAGGGTTTGACGGGGGGGCACAGAGGGGAGACCCCCCCCAAATACGCAGGGAGAGCCCCTAGAGGGGGGCACAAAGGTGAGACCCCCCCCCAAAACATCCAGGAGGGTGTCCCTAGATATGGGGTTTGGGGTGATTCCGCCCACCCATGGGTGGGGGGCACAAAGGTGAGACCCCCCCAAAGATAAAGGGGGGGTGCCTTACATATGGGGATTGGGGTGATGCTGCCCACCCATGGGTGGGGGGGGTCCCCCATGCTGGTTGGGGGGTTACAAAGGGGAGACGGGAGACTCCCCCCCCAAAAAACCCATACAAGGGGCCCCCTAGATAAGGGGTTGGGGTGACACTGCCCACCCATGGGTGGGGGGGCTAAGGGGGGGGGGCCACAAAGGGGAGACCCTCCCCAAAATAC